ATCCATCTTCAGCTTGTGTTTCTTTTTAGAACTCGCAGCACTCTTAATTCCAGCATGTTGGCTTAGTATTTTCTCAGCTAGTTTATTTTATTCTAAGTTTCCTTTCTGGTTTTTAATCTAGCATGTAATTCTCTTCTCTACATTTGGCTTGTTCCCTGTATTTAGTCCTGTATTTAGTCCTGTATTTGGTTCCTTCAATTGCATCTTGTGAAAGCATTTGTTGAATATAGAAATGTAAAGGGTTAGCAGAATACCTGCTCTCAGCAGACAACAGGTGATACTTGAAAAATGTAAGGACCACCTCACCTTGGCAAAATCAATAAGGCATAACTGAAATATTTTCTATTGGGTGCCACCATGCACAAGGCAACTTAAAGCCTGGTGGATTTCCAGGGGGCTCAGCTACAACTTTTATGTTCCTCTGTTGAACCAGAAAGATGTTGCAGTTGGTCAAAGTGGTGCACCTCCTGTTACTTCACAAAGAGCAATGTACTTGAAGGCAGTTAGTTTCTGATGTTGCAGGCTATGCTAGTACTGACAATGCAAATGGGGGTGGCTTCTGCAATCAATGCCAGTTGAAGATCAAAGCTGTTACCTTGCCTAGGACCCCATACTGTATTAAACTTTCTTGGTCTGTCACTTCCTCACTGGCCAAACCACTGCAGGACTTCACTTGCTGGTGAGGGAGCAGGGATGGAGCAACATCTTGCTGGTTCAGCCTGGGAGGGAGTGACACCATAGAAGGTAAGTAACACTAAAGGCTGTGAATGTATGCTGCAATAAAACTGCTTTAGCTCCACATACCATATACTGTATTTACTTTACAACTACTGCTTTTTCTATTATGGCTCTGGATATCTGTGCCAGCTGTACCTTCCTTTAAGAACAACAGCTAATCCACCATATATTTTATACAAACTGGTTTTCAATGACCAAACCTCTTTTATAATTACAGAAATAAGAGGGAAGACAAATCTTATTATATTTTTAGATTTATATTCATCTTATAAAACAGATGTATAGTGGGTTAAAATACTGTACAGATTGGTGATATCTGCATAACCTTTAATGATTAGGGAAAGATCGGAGAGAAATTAAAGATGTCAACCCCAATGAAAGAATCAGAAATAGAATTTACCCAGGGACTAACCTGATTATTCAGAAAAGATGAATGAAATGTCAGACTAATTTTACTCTTTGATTGCATTCTTGATGAGTCGCACATCACTGTGGTGTGCAATTAACATCATCTCACCTTTAAGCCAAATGCACTGCCTAATTCATATCTGCTGAAATTGGATAAGGCCAGTGATGGAAGGTAGTAAGCAGAAAGCCAGGAGCTAAAGTACAATCAGCTTCCATCCAATTCCGCTCAGAGCTGTGATTACCGGGTAGCTTAAGTCACCATCAAATCTTTACCTTATTAAACAAGATGTGTGAATAATCTGCAAGATTTGCTATCTATAACAGCTAAGGTCAATTTGTACCGCATGTCACCCAAATTTCTGAGTTGCAGCTCAGATGACAGAAATCCACTTTCCTTTAAAGTCATTTAGAATTTGTCACAGGCATGTGAATCCTATATTTCTATGTGCTTGCATGTCATATGCCAGGTTTATTTGACTGTGGGACACACATTAGATGATCTTTCCTCTACTTTCAATGTAATGTAGAGAAAAATAAAGCTCTATTAATGTGGATAATGCAGCAAATTAATTTTTGCTAGAACAGTCAAAAATTGATTTAGATCTCCCAACTGTATATCTATCGTCCATATAAAGTCCTTCATTATAATTGGATGATATTAGCCCTTCAAATATATATATAATATGTACTGTATACCCAACAGCTATAAGACTTTCAAATTGGAATTGATGGTACTTTGCTTATTTATTTACTATTTTTATTTAAGATTTTTTTTTCATACATTGCTGCTCATTATTATAGACTTTGTATATGTGTGTGCTTTCCGCTTTTGTGTCAAACTGTAAGAAGGGAGGCAATTAAGCATTTAATTGTATTTGATACTTTAAGCACATGACAGCAAACTTATAAAATCCTAAACATAAAGAGGAACTTCATCTCCTATGATTTTTTCTTCTATCATCCCCCTTACTTTTTTCACTAGGATATCCACTATAAATGTACCCACACGACCAATGAATCCAGTATTTATCTGCTGGGATCTTCTGCTCCACTTCCACATCTTCCTTCATACTTTTTTGCGAGCTTGCTGTCTCTTTTGGGTTTTGGCAGCTGACCCCCTGCTCATGCCTTCTGGTATATGTGATGTGTATACTCCAAAAGACATCAGGAGCACAGTACATGTCCTTCTTGTCTAGAAGAGAACAGAGGCAGGGAGTGGGGGCTGAAACACAAGGAAAAAAAGGTAAATAAACAAATCAAAATCATAAAAATTGGCTTTTTTGATAGCGAAAGGAGGGGTACAATGGGGCAAAGTAATTATTTTGTGGTAAGGCCCGATAAAGCTCCCTATTTTGACTAATGAATGAAGAATAATAGAGATTAATAGAGATGAACTTGTTAAAGAAAAACAACAATAACATGCAATAATTTTGCAAAAACATGTAAAGCAACACCTAAATAATCTACCCCTAATACTGTAAAACTTTTTATACAGTTCTTTGTGTAATGACTCTTATAAAAACATTTCTCATTCAACCTGTCCATGAAGATTCATCATTCTTCCCTAGATTACACAAGGCTTCCTGTTCAATCACAAACTGAAGCATGGTAAACACAGTTTGGTATGCTTGAATACAATGAGTGATCAATACTGATCATTCACTATGTTCATTCAGAAAAGATAGGAACAGGAGAGAGAGGAGGAGAAGCTGGCAGTTCTGAAAGGGAAGGGGGCACACAGGGAGGCCTGGGCAGCATAGTGAAAGGGATTGTGGACAGCAGGGGGTGATAGATGCATCAGGAGTGGTGCATTTACTGGAACTGATCTCCTGTGGCTTTCCTGCACCACCTGAGAGCCAGCAGGAGAGTAAGGTGGAGAAACATCTGCTGCAGAAGAGCCCCTATGCTGAATTGATGGGGCCCAACTCCCGTACAGGAGGGCCGGTGGTACCCTGTTATTGGCAGCCCTACCCCTATATAATCAACAAATATAATCAACAAAATCTAATGATTAAAATTTTACATTTGAATAAAGCAATGTAGGGGAATAGTTAAGCTCAAAGTGAATGCTTGCATTTCATTTTAGGAGCCCTCTATTCTCCATTCAATGCCATATTGCGATGCCCACAGGAAAAAAACAATGTTTGCAAAAATTGACAGCATAAAATTAAGGTAAAATGAAGTCAGGTTGACAAAGGTACAAATTAGCATTCGAAAATCTTTGTCACAATTTTACAAACGCTAACAATTTGAATGACATTAAGTTCACTCACATGGGCAATTCAGATCATATGATCATCACTGTTGCAATATATACAGTATATATACATACAGTGTATATTTTAAACAGTTCCCAGAACCACACTCTCCCTGGGGGGCGTGCGTCTTGCGCGATCTGTGATTGCTGTGTCTGTTGGACACAGCTTATCGCATGTCCAGGTAAAGGGCCATCAGAGCCACCTTCTACCATATGCTCAGCTGTGTCCAATCACATGCAAAAGGAACACAGCAGAGTGCCAGGTCAGGGTGAGTACAAACAAGGAACTTTATTCAAAGTGCATTTACATCCAAAAAAACCTGTGGTCAGCTCCCAAGATTGGTGCGGCATGCAGAGACAACTCTCCCCAGTGTGGTGGAGCCACAATCGCTGCAAGGCATAAAGAGAAACCCACTGCAAGGTGTAAGTCTGCAGCATCTCTCCATATACTCTTGCTGGCTGGCCGGAGTTCCTGACAGGTGACAGGTCGGCGGGCCGCAACGCTCTTCCAAGGCTCTGCATGTTGTTTAATTTTTTCCCTTTATCATTTATTATTCATTGTTTATATATAATGCCATCCATGGTTTTAATGGTATGTAAGGGGGATCCGACTATTTAGCTGCATGGCCTCTTTTAATTTGGTTTTCTTTGCTAATTCGATTCTTAATATCCCTTTACGATAGTCGTCTAATATCGTTTTTTTGCCATGTTCCGCTCGGTGATGTGTTCTTATCATTTCCCCTTTTTATTTTAAATTTTTGCCTATCATTGCGGTCCTTTTCCTTTTTTCCGGTTTTCAGCCACTCCCAACTCTCCTTCTGATTGGTTCCTGTTGGTGATTTGACAGCCTATATATTTCCCTCTGCCCAAGGGGTGGGCCTGCATGATAAAGAAAAATGTTGCAGCCCGCCCACCTGTCACTCAAGGCAACTGTCAGGAACCATGGCCAGCCGGCAGGAGCATATGGAGAGATGCCGTGGACTTCCACCTTGCAGAAGGTCTTTCTGCATGCCTTGCAGCGATCGTCGGTTCCACCACACTGGAGAGAGCTCTACATGCCGCACTGAGCTTGGGAGCTGACCAAGGGTTTTTACATGTAAATGCATTTTGAATAAAGTTCCTTGTTTGTACTCACACTGACCTGGTGTCCTGCTGTGTTCCTTTTGCATGTCTCCTGAGGGATTCCCCACATCCTTGGCGAGGAGTTTCCCATGATTGTGAGTGTGCCATAGCTTCCCCATTGTCCATATATCTTTTCATTCAGCTACATTCCAGATGGACTGATCACTGAATACATGCATTTCTTTGTATGCTGACAGGTCAAGTTACATTACTAGTAGTGACATTGGTTTTATTATGTATTTTCATGTGGACCCGTCTATTTAGTCCATTATTTAGATTACATTCCATCATCATCTGAGCACTGGATATGCTTGTAATACTTACAAGGTGCTTTATATACAATTGCGGTTGTGTCCAATCACAGCTGATCACAGTGTAAATAGGAAATGCCGTTTACCAGCAGTCCTCTTCTCACTCTGATACTGCGTGAGGAGAGGAGAGCCTGTAAGCAGCATTTCTCAGAGGGGACATCTACATTGATCATCAGTGCCTTGATGATCAGTGTAGCCCATCAGTGCCCATCAGTGTGGCCAATAGTGCTCATGAATGCTGGCTATCAGTGCCTCCTCAGTGCTGGCTATCAGTGCCCATCAGTGCTGCATATCAGTGCAGTCTATCAGTGCCCATCAGTGTGGCCAATAGTGCTCATGAATGCTGGCTGTCAGTGCCTCCTCAGTGCTGGCTATCAGTGCCCATCAGTGCAGCCTCATCAGCGCTCATCAGTGAAGGAGAAAAATCACTTATTTACAAACCTTTATAACAGAGACTGAGAAAAAACAAAATAAAGCTCTATTTGTCACAAAAATATAATAAAAATTTAGTTTGGACATAGTGTTGCATGACCTCGCAATTGTCATTCAAAGTGCTACAGCACTGAAAGCTGAAAATTGGCCTGGGCAGGAAAGGGGTAAAAGTTTTCTGTAGGAAAGTGGTTAAAAAAAAGTAAATAAAATGAAATTAAAATTATATATATATATATATATATATATATATATATATATATATATATATACACACACACTTACCAACCACTTTATTTGGATATTTTCTCATTTTTCATTCTCTGTAAGCCCTAGAGATGGTTGTGTGTAAAAATCCCAGTAAATCAGCAGTTTTTAAAATACTCAGACCAACTTGTCTGGAACCAGCAACAATGCCACATTTAAAGTCACTTAAATGCCCTTTCATTACCATTCTGAGGCTTGGTTTGAACTTCAGCAAGTCGTCTTCACCATGTCTAGATGCCTAAATCCATTATGTTGCTGCCACATGATTGCCTGATTATTACTGTATATTTATTTTTAATTTTTTTTACACTGTTTTATATTTTGTCCTCCATGCATGGTTTTTGTGGACCAGATCCAGACTCCCATGGAGTTGCAATCAGATTACTATAGTAGCGACATACTTCTGTAGATAAGGGCTGTACAGAGCTGCAACAGACCTTCCAAAACCTCCACACAGACAGGAAAGGGTTTATTTACTAAAGCTGGAGAGTCCAAAATCAGACTCCCTTCTGCATAGAAACCAATCAGCTTCTAACCTCACCTTGTTCAATGAAGCTTTGGCAATGAAACCTGGAAGCTGATTGGTTTCTATGCAGAAGGGAGTCTGATTTTGGACTCTCCAGCTTTAGTAAATAAACCCCGAAGTGTCGGGAGGTCACAACACTTTCAGTGTGAACACAGTGCAAAACCATTGTGTATACATTTTCTTCTATTTACAGTGCTGTTCTATGAAGCGATCTGTTAAAGTTTTGGAGCTGATTGTTTCAGTTCCTGGGCTTAGTGCTGGGTCTGAGTTAACAGAGGGGAAGGTGTGCAGGAGGCTTTTTTTAATAACTATACCCTCAAATGTTAGAATAGGCTCTCTAAGCAGTCTCCTAAATTTCTGAGGGGCACTTTTCTTATTAATTTAATTTCTGAATTGCTTCTTCTGTTTGTACACCATAATAACACAACTTTAGGACATTTTTACCTGGTTACATAGATTACCATTGTTTCCCCCAATTATTCTGAAACTTGTCTAAACAGATAACTTTTTGAAAGGAATATTTTTTTGTCTTCAAAATATTCACTTCTGTTTGTTTGTGAATCTATCATCTACAGTAAATCTATTTCCTCACAGAATTTTGGATCAAGAAGATGCAATAGAGCACTCAGGAAGAAATATTAGATCCCATCCTTTATTTGGGGAGATTAACACCTATGGTTTGCGATAACATGCAGTAAAACATACGTTATTGAATGCACATTCATGGCTGGTGAGGGTGGGGGACAGAGATTTAGGAGGAATTAGGAGGATTATCAGCTTACTGTTATGTTATGGTATAATAGCACTTCATATCAGGTGATGGTACATTGGACGATATACAATACTGTATTTTTTAGCGAGCATCTTGAACTGTGTGTGTGTGTGTGTGGGGGGGGGGGGGGGCTACATACAGTATATTTCCAATCAGCATGGCCTGTCAGTGCGTACTAGCTGACAACTTCATAGCTTACTGAAGCCCATGGAATGAAGGTGTATTCATGTGAAGGCAAATTATCCATGTCACATCAGGAAGGAGCAGGGGGCATGTCTCCATTGCCTATAGGCAAGTAGCTGAATGACATCAGCAGGAAAATATGGTTGCTGTCTATTTATGATGTGTCAGGCAAAAGACATCATAAGAAAGGGTCATGAAGGAAAAGCTGACAATGGCACTACAAGCACACTGTGCATCAGCATGATATCTTGTAGCTCTCATCAGAAAAGTGACCACATCAGCACAGATCTCATTCTGTGCTTGGCATGGTCAGAATGCTACAGAAAGAGAGGGGAACTGGCAGAATCATCAGGTATATGCTAGTAAAGAAGAGACTGGTGGCTGAAGATGGAACAGATACTTTATTAAAAAAAAGCAATGCATTTAATCCATTCTAAGGGTTGTTACATGTTCCCCGCGGCTATGCTCAAAGTCCCATGGCTTTTGTTTGACAAGAGTTTGGTTATTAGCACCACAAAAGAACCAAACTGTATAGTATGTAAAGATTACCCCTTCCCCCATAGACTTTAATGGGCTTCAGAGAATTTGTATTTTCTAAATTTCGAGGACATTTCATGAAACAGGTACAATTTAACCCAGGCAGATTCACTTGTCACTGCACAGGACATGAAGAAAGCAGATTCAAAAAGGTTCACAGCTATGGAAATGTGTTTACCTTGAGGCATTGAATCTATGTGTGCTAATTTACTGTAAGGTAAACAAAAGTCAGCCATTGCTACTCAATCAGCTTTATGTGGAACCGGGATGCATTATAAATTGTGTAAACAGACCCTTCAACTGGCCTATGAGGATTACTTAGTTATTGTACACACAAAGCAATGGTTATGTAAGAAAGTGTGGTAGCCAGGAATTATTGCACAAAATGGTGTCTGCATGTTGAGTCTGCCAAATTGTAGGCAGAAAACCAAAACTGAAAACAATTGAACAAACAATTTTTCCAATGGTCCATAAGGCAAGCTGGATATCTGTGTGATATACCACCTGAACATTACCTTTTAATGGTTGCAGGATTTTTTTTTTTTAGTAGAAGGAGTTAACAATCCTAACAAAGGCAAATTAATCACCTCTAAATGTTGCTTTACAGTGCAGTTTGCTTCTTGTGGGATTCCTAAATACATGAAAATTGAAAATAGGTCACAGTGTAATTTAAAAATGTCAGGATTACTTAACATTAACTTACATTTTTTCATCATTGTACTACACCATATTTGCCAAAAGCTAAGGGGGAACTAAAATGTTGGAAGAAGCAGCATTACAGACAAATAAAGTAGCACATATGGCAAGTGCTGGGAAAAGGTTATCTTGCGCCCAGAGCGAAGATGCAAAACATTGCCCCCTAAAAAGTATGAGCTTTATGTGTCAGCAAAAATCCCCTCCTCCCCAAAAAAATTTGAGCATTAATCTGCACACTCACCCCTAAGCATAAAAATCATTTTGCAAGCCAAAATTCTCCCCAAACAAAAATTCATCCTCTTCCAGTACAAATAGGAGCTAAACAAACACTACACACTGGCAATCCAGCTGTCCAAATCCAGGACAGCTGCAGTTGCAGGAGCTGGAGGGTAGAGAGAACAACCAGCATATCCTTCCGGGTCTTTCCTCTTCTCCATATCTGGGTTGTCTCCTCCAGTGCTAAACTGACAGGAGAAGTGAAAATGTTTTCACTACTCCTGTCAGCTTGTAAGTAGGAACTCTCCATACATTGCCCTGCACCTCACATGATACCACCGTGCCCAGGGCAGCCGCCCCTCCAGCCCACCCCCTCATCCTGGCCTTGCATATGGCAGACTGACAATGCTGCAGCTAACCACAGGCCACACTTAAGCTAGCAATACATACAGTGCTCATCATAAATGAGTACACCCCAACAGATTTGTCAAAAAACCTTTACTCTACTTTCAGAATCAACATTTTCTATGGGACACTATACTACAAAATACTCCAACAAATGTGGGCCATTGATTGCAAAGAAAATTTGTTAATTTGCACACACAAAAAGTATTTTTTTCTAACAAATTTATTCAAGTCCATGTTGCAAAAATGAATACACCCCGAGGAAAGTTTTAGGAGCAAAGCTAAATTTTAGATAACAAAATCCTAACTAACAAGAATTCAACTGCAGGTGAGTCTATATATTCATTAAACAGGTGTCCAGAAGACAATTGATTGTAAAAGCGCATTACTTAACTAAGAAAACCTCTTCCCAATTCATGCTGTCAGCAATGGCATCACATGGAAGAGAAATGTTACAAGGCCTGAGAAAGGTGAAGGCTACAAGAAGATCAGCAAAGCTTTACTTATCAATCAGAATACTGTAGCAAAATTGATACAAAAATTTAATAAAGATGGAACTGCAACCATCTCACACAGATGTCCAGGCCATCCATGGAAGTTAACATCTCGAGAGGAGCGTCTTCTGATTAGAAGGGTGAAAGAAAATCGCCATGCAAGTTCACTGCAGTTAGCTAAAGAAGTAGAAAGCCAAACTGGGTTGATTGTTTCCAGCAACACAATACGGTGTACACTGCAGAGGAATGGCATGCATTGGTGTCGTCCATGAAGCAAGCCTCTCCTAAAGCCCATGCACAAAGCCTGCGTAGAATTTGCCAGGGCCCATGCTGAAAAAGAAGACTACTGGGACTCTGTACTTTGGAGCGATGAGACCAAGATAAGTGTTTTTGGAACTGATGGCTTCAAAACTGTATGGCGTCTCAAAGGTGAGGAGTACAAAGAAAAATGCATAGTGACTACAGTGAAACATAGTGGTGGTAGTGTCCCTCTGTGAAACTGCATGAGAGCTGCTGGTGTCGGGGAGCTGTATTTCATTGATGGTGTCATGAATTTACAAATGTACTGATCTATATTGCAAGAGAAGATGCTACCATCACTCTGTGCACTTGGTCATTGTGCACATGACAATGATCCAAAACAGACATCTAAGGCCACTGTTGCATTTCTGAAGAAGAACAGGGTGAAAATGATTCAGTGGCCAAGTATGTCTCCTGATCTGAACCCAATCAAACACCTATGGGGAATTCTGAAGACAAGTTGAGCATCACTCTCCATCCAGCATCCAGCCTCTAAAAGAGGTTGTTCTTGAAGAATGCAAAAAGATAAATGTTGCAATATGTCGCCAACTTGATCATTTTATGCCTAGAAGACTTGGTGCTGTACTTACAAATCATAGAGGCCATACCCAACAAAATACTA